CTGTAGGCATTCAAATTCAGAGAGATCCAAAGTCCATGCTTGGCAGAGCGATAACACACTATTTGGGCTTTACTATCATTACTAACAACCATCTGAAACCAAACTTTCTGTTTCTTATTCCAAGATTTGAATTTTAGTCGTTTATGCTAGAAACTCTCTAGGAGTTGTCAAAGGGACAATTCCTATTAAAATTAATCACCCAAAAAGGACAACTAAAATGAACAAACAATGAAAAGCATATATTTAAATTACACATGAGTTAAATAAATGATATACATCTCCATAATGGAATATCATGTAGCCATATTAAGGAAATACTAAGAATAGATATTCTTAGACAGTAGAAATACAGTCAGTATCTGCTATCCTGCTTGTTTTGAAAATGTGAATTCATGCCACTGTGATCAACATATTAGGGAACAACATGAGCATAACACAAATTTTATATTTGCTTATGTCTGATATTGTTTATGAGAAACACTAAACACAGAAAACTACACCCAACTGAACTAAACTGCATAAGAATACATAAAACAGCTACCGCAGTTCACCACATGAACTCATGATATGAGCCACACCTATCCACATCTGGTGTTACATTTGCCCATCTAATATTAGATAACCCTCCTTCCTCCATTTCACAGTAACTCAGAAGCTGCAATCCTCCTGAAGCCTACTTCTATAGGCAAACTTCCTATCTTTTCCAAGGTAGCATTTATATTATTTAACCAATAAGTGTACAAAACTGTACAACTGCTTTATTAGATTCATATCTTTTTTTTCTAATGTCACTGAAGAAGTTCTTGAGTGTCGTTTCCCTAACCCCATTTTCCTCATAAGCTCTGTGGTTTTTATTGTGTGATTTTGCATAGTGCAGTGATTTTTAGAAATGTATGTGTTACATTACAGAACTGACTCTAAGTCCAATTGCAAACTATAGATTAGTATATATAGTATAATCCCATTTTATTAAAAACATATATTTCATGTGTCTACAGATATGTATGCATATTTATCAATGCTTACAAAAAGGTCTGGAAGAACTTCCTGCAAATATTTAATAGTGCTATCTCTGAAGGCAAGAATATGAGAGACTATCACTTTAAACTTTATACTTTTGTTTGATTTAGATACAATAAATTGGGGTTACTTCTGAAATTTTAAAAATTCCTTTTAAAAAGCAAACAATATTTCCAATTCTAGAAGTACTGAAAAGAGTAGTTCTAAACTTTCGTCTCATTAAGCACTGGATCCAGAACACAGGGTCTACTCCATTTGATTATATCATCCCCCTGTTTAAAATTCTCAATACTTGAATGCAAAGTTTTCATTATTTATGAAGAATCTGGCCTGTCCTACCTTCTCCAGCTTCATCCCTCAGTTCTTCCCCTCATTTATATATTCAATTAAGATTTATTTAGCCCTAACTGGTTTGGTTCAGTGGACAGAGTGTCAGCCTGCAGACTCAAGGGTCTCAGGTTCGATTCCAGTCAAGGGCATGTACTTGGTTGCGTACAGGAGGCAGCTGATTGATGTTTCTAACCTCTCTCTCCCTCTCTTTTCCTCTCTGCCAAAAATCAATAAAATATATTTAAATATATACATATACATATACATATACATATACATATACATATACATATATATATATATATATTTAGAATTTTCCATATACAGGCACTGGGGATAAAGCAGTGAAAATTAGATACAAACCCCACTCTCATATAACTTTGAATCTAGCAAAGGAGAGGCTTTAAACAATAACAAAATTGTACTTAAAATTATTTAGTTAGAAATATTTAGTTAAAAAGGGGAAACAGGCAGGCTCTGGGATCAGGAAAAGCCTCCCTGGAAATGGAAGTGATATTTATGCTGAGGATTTAGGATATGTAAGAATTGGACTGATAAAAAGAGAAGAGCATGGCAGACAGAGAGAATGTGGAACAGCCAAAGGACCAAAAGAGAGCTTGGGCCCTTCAAGGAAGCAGTATGGCTGGAGAACAAAATAAAAGGGAAGAGAGGTATAAGGTAAGGTTAGAAGCAGCAGAAACTAAATTATGTGGGGCCCATAGACTATCCTAAGAATTTTGCACCTAATTCTAAGAGCAGATACAATTAAAGGCTTTCAACAAGGGAAATGACATGATCAGAAATGTGCATTTGGAAGCTCATTTGGGTTACTGTCTAAAAAGAAAGGCCTAAGGAGGGCCAGGAATAAATGTGGAAATGACACTAGGAACTTCTTTCAATAGCCTGTAGATTACTAAAATGATAGCCTGGATTAGGATGGTGGGAGTGAAATAGAGAAAATTAAATGGATTCAAAATTCTGTTAGTATCAATGAAAGAAAAACACCACATGACCTCACTCATTTATGGATAATAAAGAACATTATAAACTGATGAACAAAAAGATAGATACAGAGACAGTAAAGCAACAAACAGACTGTCAAATTACAGAGGATAGGGAGATAAGGGGGAGATAAGAGATCAACTGAAGGACTTGTAAGCATGCATATAAGCAAAACCAACGGATGAAAAACTCTGGGGGGAAGGGCAGGTATGTGCGTGGGGGGATGGGGTGGGGGCAATGGAAAGATATGTACACATATAATATTGGAAAGATATGTACACAAATATAAGATATGTACACACATATTATATGTAAACATATAATTCCTTAATAAAAAATAAAATATAATAAAATATAAAATATAATAATGGAAAGATATGTACACAAATATAAGATATGTACACACATATTATATGAAAACATATAATTCCTTAATAAAAAATAAAAATTAAATTTAAAAAAATTCTGTTAGTAGATACATTCAACAGCTCTTGACTGTATTGACTGGCTGTGGGGATACAGGAAAGGAAGGGATAAAGAATGACTCAAGCCTCTAGCAACAGCACTTCTCACACCCTAGCCTCCAGCCATACTCCACTACTTGCAGTTCCCTAAGCTGTCATGCCTCTTTTTGTTTTGTTTTTTAAATACAATTTATTTTATTTTTTAAACATTTTTATTGATTTCAGAGAGGAAGGAAGGAGAGACAGAAACATCAATGATAAGAGAGAATTATTGATTGGCTGCCTTCTGCACAACCCTATTGGGGATCAAGCCTGCAACCCAGGCATGTGCCCTTGATTGGAATCGAAACCAGGACTCTTCAGTCCACAGGCTGACCTGACGCTCTATCCACTAAGCCAAATCGGCTAGGGCAGTCACACCTCTTTCAAGCCTCTGAGTGGAAATGCCCTTACATCATCCTTCAGCTGCAAAATGCTTCCTCATCCCAGCCTTCCCTAATGCCCAGATTAGGTGCTCTAACTGCGTGCTCCTGCAGCTTCTCACACTTGCCTATATCATCTCCCTTGGCACCCAGCATTTTAATCATACTAGAGGCTTGGTGCACAAAATTTGGTGTAGGAAGGCAGATGGGCTCTCTCGCAGTCCAGGACCCCTCAGGGGATGTCTACCTGCTGGGAAGGAATCTCTCACCCTCTTTCAGGTTAAACCTTTCACTTGTGCTCTAAACCCTACTTCCTTCCCATCCTCTGCAAGGACTTCTCCCTGCCATCTATTTCCTTTCTTTCTTAGATCTTTAATCTATTTACCATTGTTTTCTCCTCAAGCAACTGAATCAACTCTCATCTATAGAAAGATATATTTGCCTGACCAGCGTGGCTCAGTGGTTGGGTGTGAACTTATGAACCAGGAGGTCACAGTTCGATTCCTGGTTGCAGACTCAATCCCCAGTGGGTAGTGTGCAATAGGCAGCTGATTGATAATTCTCATCATTGATGTTTCTGTCTCTCTCCCTCTCCCTTCCTTTCTCTGGAATAGAAAAAAACTTATTTTTCTTTTTTTTTTTTTTTAAGGTATTTTCAAATATCTTTATCTCTGACCTAAACTAATCTCCGCAGATTCAGACATCTGTTAGCCTCTAGAACTCTACTTTGATGTCCTAAAGAAATTCCAACATGTCCAAAACTAAACTTAGGCTCTTTTAAAACCAACTATATTCCATCTCAGAGAACGAACCATCATCCACCCAGTTTCTAAGCCAGAACCTCAGATGCTACTTTTATTTTATTTTTTTAAGTTTTTTAAAATTGATTTTTAGAAAGAGGAGAAGGGAGAAAGATAAATAGAAACATTGATGGGAGAGAAACATCATCCATCGGCTGTCTTCTGCACACCCCCTATTGGGGATCGAGCCCACAACCGGGGAATGTGCCCTACCAGTGACCTCTTGGTTCATGGGTCAACCTCAACCACTGAGCCACACCAACTGGGCCAGGTGCTACTTTTAACTCGCTCTTCTCCCCCAGCTTCTCATGTCATTCAGCTAGTAAAGACCAGTGCTAACTTTTGGATTCTACGTCCTTAATATACCTATCTACTCACATCTCCATCTCCAATGCTATTTCCTGGTTCAGCTCCTTTTCACATGTTGGATTACTATAACATCTTCCTACTATTCTTATTTCTAATCTTACTCTTCACCAAATTTTCACAAGCAACCAGAATTATATTTCTAAAACATGTATCTGACATGTTATTTCCCTACTTAAAGCATTCAACAGCTAGCTCCCTACTACCTTCAGGATAAAGGTCAAATATTTACTAGTACATGATCCTTCAAGATCTGGTCCCAGCTTACCTCACCACTCACTCTACTATAAATTTTATTCTCAAGGCACATTGAACTCTCTCTCTCTCTTACTTCACCAAAATCCCACAAAGAATCCTAAAGCATCATAATGATGGCTCAAACCCAAAGCAGAAAAAATTCTATCCTACTCTAAGTAAATATTCATTTAAAATAATTACTTTACTAAATTCTATAGTACCACATAGTGGTGAGATAGGGAAGCGCATAATAGAGATAAAGGAAGTGTGGTGACCGTGCAGTGTCTCATAGTTGTGTGTACCAGGATACCCACACTTAGTTAGCTCATCTTGCTGATTTTATCACTCCAAGAACTTACATCACTGGGGCTCAGGTTGCCCAGCCCATTCTCCTGCTCAGAATCCTTCCCAGACTCAGTGCCCTGAGAGGACCGGGGATTGGATGGATGAATCCAGATCTCCAGGCGAGTAGTGTCATCTCCAACATGCCGGAAAGTAGACTTCTTTCCTTTCCGCCACTGATCAGTGTTCAGTTCCAATTCCTCATGTTGCTTTTTTTCCATCTGTTCTGCCTATACAACATACAAACATACAAGCTCAGACTCTTCTGGGATTCAGTTAATAAAGACAAGTGCTCACCTCATCTGAGTATGTCAATCAAGAACTATAAAAAGTAAAAATTTTGCCGTAGTTCCAAAAGAGTACAGTTTTTAAAAAGGGGGGAGGAGGGCAGAGTACCACCTGCTTTGTCACATAAAAGTTACTGATTCTATAAATTAGATGCTATGGAACATGCACATTCAAGGGCCCCAGAGTTCTCCTAAAGATGAGTTTGGTTCTGCATAGGGACTGATTCCCATCAGCACAGCCCCCTTGAGCACAGTTTTAGTCATTCCCTTAAGAACACAGAGGCACTAAGAGAAACACGTTCTCCTAGGAAGGAATGATTCTGCCTGCATCCCCACTCACCTTTCGTTTGGTCTCTTCAAACAAGCTCATGAGACTCTCCTTGGCAGTCAGGATAGGGTTGCTGGCAGCTAAACTGCGCATATAGTAATACACAGCATCAAGCTTCCTCCTCTGTGGAAAGAGGCCAGAGACACTGAGTCAACCAAGTTTCTTTCAAGTCCAGCCTAAATCAGCTGACCCAAGAAACCTTAATATCTCACCCAAGCTGTGCCCCAAGAGGAATTCCAGTAAGAAAATGAGAATGTTATCCATGGAAGAAGCCATGGCAATTACATCAGAAAGACCTCTTCTTGCACAATACCTTATATGCAGAGGTACTCTAAGAGCCAAGTACTCATAAGGGTGGGAAAAATAAAGAGCTCATAAAATATAACTCAATTATACTTTGTTTTTAAATAAAAAATGTTCAAGTCACTTAATAATTTATTGTTTTTAAAAATTAATAATAGCAATATTGATTAAGCATAACCAAATATGAGGCAAGTGATCAGCACTTCATAGATATTATCTCAAAACCTAAGGATACTGCCACATATTATTATTCCCATTTTAAAAATGAGGAAATGGGAACCCTCCTCAAATACTGAAAAGAATTATCATATAACCTAGAAATTCTACTTTTGGGTATATACCTAAAAGAACTGAAAGTAGAATCTTGACTCGGTATTTATATACTCTTATGTTCATAGCAGCATTATTCATAATGCCCAAAAGGTTGAAGTCCACTGAGAGATGAATGGATAAACAAAATGTAGTATATACATACAACTGAATATTATTTGGCCTTAAGGAGGAAGTTTTATTTTTTTTTTTTAAAGTGTTCTCTTATTTTCTTTTTCTTTTTTAAAAAAATATATTTTATTGATTTTACACAGAGAGGAAGGGAGAAGGATAGAAAGCTTGAAACATCGATGAGAGAGATACATCGACCAGCTGCCTCCTACACCCCCCCCATCAGGGATGTGCCCGCAACCAATGTACATGCCCTTGACCGGAATCGAACATGGGACCTTTCAATCCGCAGACCGACACTCTATCCACTGAGCCAAACCGGCTTCGGCAGGAGGAAGTTTTAATACAAGCTATAACATGAACGAACCTTGAAGATATAATGCTAAGTGAAATAAATAAGTCACAAAAAGAAAATACCATATGATTCCACTTATATAAGGTACCGAAAGTGGGCAAATTCATAGAAACAGAAAGTACAAGAGTAGTTGCCAGTGGCTGGAAGATAGGAGAGTGGGGAGTAGCTGTTTCATGGGTCTAGAGTTCCAGTTTTATAAGATGAGGAGAGTTCTGGGAGATCATTTGAACAACAATGTGAATGTACTTAATATTACTAAACGGTACACTTAAAAATGGGTAAGGTTGGTTGCTCAATGGTTAAAGCATCAGACCACACACCAAAAGGTCACAGGTTCCATTCCCAGACAAGTGCACATACCTAGGTTGTAAGTTTGATCCCCGTCCCCATTTGGGGTGCATGTAGGAGGCAACCAATAGATGTGTCTCTGTCACATCAGTGTTTTCTCTCTCTTTTTCCCCCTCTTCCTTCCCTTCTACTCTCTTAAAAACAAACAAACAAAAAACTATCAAGCCATGAAAATAAACCTAAAGCCAATCTGAAAATATTGTATCCTGCATGGTTCCAACTATGTAGCATTCTGGAAAAGGCAAAACTATAGACACAGTAAAATACCAGTGATGGTCAGAGGTTCATGGGATGCAAAAGGGACAACAGGTGGAGGGTGGAGCATGGGCTATCTTCAGGACAATGAAACTATTCTGTATGATACTATAACGGTAGATATGTGTCACTATACATTTATTTCTTCAGACCATGAAAGTCCAGCAGTTAAAGTGAACCTTAATATAAACTATGGACTTTAACTAATAATAATGTATCAATACTGGCTCATCAATTATAACAAATATAGTACACTAATGTAAGATGTTAATAATAGGGAAATTGAGGGGGAGGAGAAAGTTAAGAGGATATATGGGAACTCTGTACTTTTTGCTCAATTTTTCTATAAAGTTAAACTGACCAAAAGAAATAAAAATAAAAGCTATTAAAGAAAAAAAATCCCGAAGTTGGGGAAGGGGGAAACCACAATATTACTTCACACCGCCCAGCCAGAGTGGTTCAGTGGTTGAGTCGACCTTTGAACCTGGTGGTCATGGTTAGGTTCCTAGAGAGTGTGCAGAAGGTAGCTGATGGATGATTTTTTCTCATCATTGATGTTTCTCTCTCTCTCTCTCTCTCTCTCCCTTCCTCTTTGGAATCAATTAAAAAAAAAAAAGAGAGAGAGAGAGAGAGATATTATTTAACACCCAATAGGTTGGTCATATTCAAAAGAAGAAAAGAAAAATAACAAATGTTGGCAAGATTGTAGAGAAATCAGAACCCTGGTACATTGCTGGTGAGAATGTAAAAGGGTACAGCTGCTATGAAAAACAGTTAAACATGGAATTACCATATGACTCAGCAATTCCATTCCTAGGTACAGTCCCCCCAAAAAAACAGATAATTCAAAGAAACACTTCACAAAAAAAACTGTTCACAATAGCTAAAAGGTGGAGACAATTTAAATGTCCAACTGACGACTGAATTAAAGCATTGAATGAATCAAAGTGTTATATCCATAAAAATTAAGTATTGATACATGTTACAACATGGTCAAAAACTTGATGATAGCAGAGACCGGTTTGGCTCAATGGATAAAGCATCAGCCTGTGGACTGAAAGGTCCCGGGTTCCATTCCGGTCAAGGGCATGTACCTTGGTTGCGGGCACATCCCCAGTAGGGAGTGTGCAAGAGGCAGCTGATCGATGATTCTCTCTCATTGATGTTTCTAACTCTCTATCCCTCTCTCTTCCTCTCTGTAAAAAAATCAATAAAATATATTAAAAAAAAAAAAAAAAAACAACTTGATGATACATGAAAGAAGCCAGATATAAAAGGTCATATACTGTATTATTCCACTTACATGAAATATCCAGAATAGGTAAATCCAGGGACAGAAAGCAGACTAGTGGTTGTCAGAGGCTGGGGCTTAGGAGGCATGGGGAGGAATAGATAAGAGGTTTTCTTTTATGGTAATAAAAATGTTTTAGAACTAGACAGAGTTGGTGGATGCACAATGCTGTTAATGTACTAAATGCCACTGGATTGACAAATAATTATTTACAAACTAGAGACCTGCTGCACGAAATTTGTGCACAGGGTGGGGGGGGCTGTCCCTCAGCCAGCCCACACCCTCTCCAATCTGGGACCTCTCGCGGAATGTCCAACTGCCAGTTTAGACCCAATCCTACCAGGGATCCTACCTCCCTTTCGCAATCGAGGACTGCTGGCTCCCAACTGCTCGCCTGCCTGCCTTCCTGATTGCCCCTAACTGCTTCTGCCTGCCAGCCTGATCACCTCCTAACCACTCCCATGTCAGCCTTGTTGATGCCTAACTGCTCCCCTGCCAGCCTGATCACCCTCAACTACTCTCCCCTACAGGCCTGGGTCTCCCCCATCTGCCCTTCCCTGAAGACCTGGTCACCCCCATCTTTCCTCCTCTGCCAGCCTGGTCACCTCTAACTGCCCTCCCCTACAGGCTTGATCGCCCCCAACTGCCCTCCCCTGCTGGTCTGATTCCTCCCAACTGCCCTCCCCTGCTAGCCAATTTGTGGCAGCCATCTTGTTGGAGTGACAGTCAATTTGCATATTACTCTTTTGTTAGATAGGATACCTATAAATTACTTTGTTATATTAATTTTACTGCAATATTTTAAAGTCACTGAGGAAAGATTATATTTACTAACTAACAAGAAACATAGAAATTCATTCAATAATTACAAAGAAGAAAAACTAGAAAAGGAGACAAGAAATGAGAAATAGCCGAAACCAGTTTAGCTCAGTCCTACTACCTCTGAAACTTTCTAAATAAACTTTCTCATAATTTGAGTTTTGGGCTCTGTAATCTTTCTTTGCTGGTCTCAAGAACCAAGGTCCAATTTCACCACCAGTAACACTTCCAAAGAAGTATCTATCTTCAGACCTTCCACCACTACCTGGAAATGACCTCACTCAAATGAAGATAGAGTTCCTTGGACGGTGCTCAAGCCTCCCATAAAAGCCCTGCTGAAATAAAAAACAAACAACAAAACAACAAAGAGAACAGGAAGGAGGTAAAAAGTGAAGAGAGATTCAATCTATTCTGAAGGAAGCGTTATCAGTAAACCCCATTACTTAATCAATAATTTCAATCCATAATTATTAGGTATTTCTTTGAGTCTTTTGTGAAATAAAGGGGAATAAAAATTACTGACTCAAATATTATTTGGCAATGAATTTTACAGCATTAAGAAAACTCTCCCTGCCCTGATTGGTTTGGCCTGTGGACTGAAAAGTCCCAGGTTCAATTCCAGTCAAGGGCATGTACCTGGGTTGCAGGCACATCCCCAGATGGGGGTGTGCAGGAGGCAGCTGATCGATGTTTTTCTCTCATTGATGTTTCTAACTCTCTATCCCTTTCCCTTCCTCTCTGTAAAAAAAAAAAAAAAAAAAAAATCAATAAAATATATTATAAAAAAAGAAAAAAAAAAACTCTCCCTGATAATGAACTTGTTAGTTAGCTGCTTCTTATACTTGAACCTTCAGTACCAACCATTGGTCTCCATCCTTTCTCCTTCCTTCAGTTCTCTCACTAAGAGCTCTGTCAGATCCCAAGGTTCTCTGTTAGAGCCACATTTAGAGGAGTTTGGTAAGATCCAGAGAGGTGTGGGGTGGGGGGAGCCCAATGGTAAAATATGTACACAGATAATAATTTAATTAAAAAAAAATTCCAGAGAGGTATGATTTGGCATTTACTGTGTTTCTGCTAAGGAAACTCCTTAGGTGAAAAGCTAAGAGGACTAAGGGAATGATCTGAAGAAAGGAAACAAAGATCTGAGTACTTGGGGCTAGTTGAGGGCTTTAAGAAGGAAAGGGAAATGGAGCTTTATTTTCCTTCCAGAAATAAGTAACTTAGTTCAACGAGACAGGGAAGGGAAGCAAGGCAAGATTCAGAGCAGAAGTCTTAGTCAAAAAACAGAGTGGTTTGGCTGGAGCATGAGCATTCCCCAAGGAACTTAATTGCAGTGAAAGTGGATGAAGTATAGATTCCACTGAAGTGAGGGATCCCTGACAACTTAACTCTAAAAGTAACAGTAACAGCCAAAACCGGTTTGGCTCAGTGGATAGAGCGTCGGCCTGCGGACTGAAAGGTCCCGGGTTCGATTCCTGTTAAGGGCACGTATTTGGTTGCGGGCACATCCCCAGAGGGGGGGTGTGCAAGAGGCAGCTGGTCGATGTATCTGTGTAAAAGTCAATAAAATATATTTTAAAAATAAATAAAAAAATAAAAAATAGCAGTCACTGTCCCTTTAGCCTACTTTCCTTTAAAAAAATAAATATATATATATATATAAATATATATATATAAAGTAACAGTAACAAATATATATATGTAAATTTATATATATATATATATATATATATATAAAGTAACAGTAACAAAAGGAACTTGAAGATAGAATGTAGAGGGCCCCCTGGGAATGCACATGGATGACCTTTAAATTAATGTCAACTGAGTCCCAGGTGACTGGCTAGGCCTCTCCCGAAAACAGCCTCCCAAAATCTTCGTCTGTTATCAGTACAGATTCTTTATCTTTATCCATGTGCTGAGAATAAGGAATGAATAGGACCTTGACTTATCCAGGTTTTGATATGCTAAATCCTGTTCTTGTACCAGGAATGAGGAATGGCACACCCAAAACTCCTTAGACCTTAAACCCCACTTTGGAAATCAATAAATGCGATGTGTTGTCTGTGGTGGGTGTGACTGTCCCTCCATCAGAGTGACAGCCCCTCATCTGGGTCCCAGCTGATCTCTATTTCTGTGTCCCCAGCTCAGGTAGCAGAAAACAGAGAAACAGCCCCCCATAATAGAAGACATCAGGGAATATACTTTGTATTCTAGCTAAATTGTTTAAATCTAGTTTCAAGAACTGATGCTGTAAAAATCCATATTTCTAGTATACTGCCTACAAAATTCTTCCCTCTCCACAGGATTTCTTACCGTATACACTGCCAGCAGAGCCAGCTGGTTATAGGGGCGCCCATTCTTGGGAGCAATGTGCTGGGCCTTCAGGTACCAACTGGAATAAAAAAATAATTTTAAAAATGCTAGTCCCATATCAACCCTTTCCCAATTCATCACATGATAGTCCTTACTACTTAAGACATAAGTTGGATTATTAGATGTAACCCTGAAGTGGTAAAGCATGACTAAAGAGACCAGTAAGGACACCTGTAGGATATCCATAAAGCTCAGGTAACCCATTGCTCTTAATAGGGCTTAGCTTAAAACACAGGGAGAGAAGCAAATAAACAAGAGGCAAAAGTACCTGCGTGCTTTCCCGTAGTTTGCTGTGTCATTGGCTTGCTCCCGATACCTAGCAATATCTCCTTGACAAATCATACATCGCTGGGCACTGATTAATGCATATTTTACCTTCAGGAAAAAATAACCAGTTAATAGAATACCCAAGAAACTCTAACTTCAACCCCAAAGGACAGGGACGGGACCAAAATGACAGAGTAGCAACAAGGCACTAGTAGTCCTCAACAAAATAAAAAGTTTTCAAGTCTAACCCTGACTAGCAAAAAGAAAATAGCCAACAGTGTGATAAAACATTTACTGATAAAGAGTGGCAGAAAGGAGAGGGGCCATTTTTTTTAAATATATTTTTATTGATTTTTTACAGAGGAAGAGAGAGGGATAGAGAGCTAGAAACATCAATGAGAGAGAATCATTGATCTGCTGCCTCTTGCACACCCGCTACTGGGGATGTGCCCGCAACCAAGGCACATGCCCTTGACTGGAATCGAACCCAGGACCTTTTAGTTCCCAGGCTCTACCCACTGAGCCAAACCAGTTTTGGCCATTTTTTTTTTTTTTAATCCTCACCCCAGGATATGTTTTTATTGATTTTAGAGAGAGAAGAGGGGAGAAGGGAAAAGGGTGAGGCAGAGGGAGGCAAGCACATCAATGTGAGAGAGAAACATTGATTGGTTGCTTCCCATATGCACCCCGACTGGGGATCAAACCAGAAACCTAGGTATGTGCCCTGACTGGGAATTGAGCCCACAACCTTTGGTGTATGGGATGATGCTCCAATAAACTAAGCCAACTAGCCAGGGCGAGAGGGGCTCATTCTTATTTCAAGTCCCAGGTAAATGGAAAAAAATATTGTGAAATTAAGAGTCAGAGACCTGACTTTCCATGTAATAGTTGTGTGATCTTAAGTAGGTCTTTGAGACTCGGTTTCTTCATTTGAATGTGAAAAGCACCTATTCCATAAGGTAAATAAAGAAAATAAATACAAAATACTTCACAAATTTTAAAGTGATATATAGACCCTTGCCGGAGAGCTTAGTTGATTAGTGTCATTCTGATATGCCAAGGTTGTGGGTTCAATCCCCAGTCAGGGCACATATAAGAATCAATCCATGAATGCATAAATAAGTGGAAAAACAAAAATTGATGTTTAACCCCAGTTTGATTCTTGGCCAGGGCACATGCCTCAATTCCCAGTAAGCAGAAGGCAGGCAATCAATGATTCTCATTATTTATGTTGGTATCTCTATCTCTTCCTTCTTCTCTGAAATCAATAAACCTTTTTTTAAAAATATATTTATTGATTTCAGAGAAGAGGGAGGAGAGATAGAAACATCAATAATGAGAGAGAAGCATTAATTGACTGCCTCTTGCACAACTCCTAGTGCGGATTGAACACGCAACCCAGGGATGTGCCCTTGGCCAGAAATAAACCTGGGACCCTTCAGTATACAGATTGATACTCTATCCACTGAGCCAAGCTGGCTAGAACTTTTTAAATTTTTTTATGTTTATTCCTCTCTTTCCAATCAATAAATAAAATGATATAAAAATATTAAGAGCCCTAACCGGTTTGGCTCAGTAGATAGAGCATCAGCCTGCGGAGTGAAGGGTCTCAGGTTTGATTCCAGTCAAGGGCATGTACTTTGGTTACAGGCACATCCCCAGTAAGGTGTGCAGGAGGCAGCTGATTGATGTGTCTCTCCCATCAATGTTTCTAACTCTCTCTCCCTCTCCTTTCCTCTTTGTAAAGAAAATCAATAAAATATATTTTTTTTAAATATTAAGACAATTACTTACTGTTCTCTTTCTCTCCTCAAATTGTTAATATCACCACATTGTGTTATTGCATTACATCCCTTTTGCAAAATAACAGTTCCCTAAAACAATAAGTTACTCTTTACCAAATGTGCCAGAACTGTGTAGTTATATACATACAAGAGGCCCAGTGCACAAAATTCTGCACTCAGGGGAGATCCCTCAGCTGGACCTGTGCCCTTTTGCAGTCCGGGAGCCCTCGCCATTGCCGCTGCATTCCCCAGCCACGAGCCCAGCTTCTGCTGAACGGAGCTCCCCCTGTGGAAGCGCAATGACCACCAGGGGGCATCTCCTGCATTGGTGGTCGTTCCACTGTTTGATTGATTTGCATATTAGCCTTTTACATACAGGACTAGAAGCCCGGGTGCACAAATTCATGCATGAGTGGGGTCCCTCAGCCTGGCTGACGATCAGGGCTGCAGTAGGTTGGCAGGCCAGGGGGAGGGGCCATGGGAGGTTAGCTATGGGTGCACACTGACAACCAGGGGGCAGCTCTTGTGTAGAGCATCTGCCCTCTGGTGGTCAGTGCCCATCATAGTGACTGGTTGGTCACTTAATCTTTTAGATAGATAGATAGATAGATAGATAGATAGATAGATAGATAGATAGATAGATAGATGATAGATAGATAGATATGTGTATGTATATATGTATATATAACAGAGTAAACCCTCAGCAATCCTAAGACATGTGCCCAACCTAAAAACCTCCCGAGGAACATCACTTAATAACATATAACTCCACTCCACCCCACACATAAGAAATTACCATGTCCTTGAACAAAGGACAAAGTTTCAAGGACAAGTACATAATGACCTCTCAGGAAAGCTCATTTACTAGCAAATAACTACCTCCTGCACACCAGCCTCCCAACACATAACTCAAACATGTGCCTCAGCAGTTATATATCACTGTCATCCACCTTCAGAGTCCTGACTATCCTACATATTCTATGAATGAACACTAAAAATCCTTGGTATTTTAATGATTAAGCACCAAGAAAACTAGTTATATTTCCATACTACAGTCATTTTGCCATCTCAATGAGGGGAAGAAAAAAAAAACCTGCCAAAGGCTCTCCACTATCCTTATAATGAAATTCTAGATGATCTAACGTCTGCTCATTTATTCAATGCCGTTACCCCCCTTATTCTCTGTGCCCTTGCAAACTAGATTTCTCGGTCCTGCTAACACACCATGCTCTTTCCCACTTCAAGACCTTCACTAGAATTGTTCCCTATCTCTAGAATGTTGTAGGTCTTGCATCTTCACATACCCCTTCACTTAGCTAATGTCTCAGGTTTTCAGCACAACTTAACTGTGACTTCCTCATTCCTCCACAATCCTCTAAGCCCTTTTAACAGTGTATATACTCACATACACACAAAATCCTTTGCAGAAGTCACTGCATCTGCAATTACTAATGCAACATTGCACTCACCCCTAATCAAATTCTAAGCTTTAAAAGCTTGGAGCATGAAAATAAATTAATAATAAATAAATTTATAATAACAAATAAATTAAAATTAATAATAAATAAATAAATAAAATTAATATATAAAAGCTGGGAGCATGGCTTTCTTGTTTCACACTGAATTAATTGTGTGTGCCTAGAATGACACCTGACATGTAGAAGGGACTCAATAAATACTTGCTGATTACTAACAGAGCTTACACATAGTAATTCATCAGAAGGAGCAGAAAGGAAAGAAGAAGCCATTATTCCATAAATCGCACCCCTTTCTTTAATGATTCTTTAACTTCCTTCTTTCCCCCTGGACCTTTCTTCTCTACACATAAATATGCTCAAGTCTCTCGCAGCTTAAAAACAAAGTTCTCTTGAGACTATGTTCTCTTTTAAATACTATTTCCCCTCCTTGCCTTCATAACCAAGATTCTTAAAAACTATGATCTATATTACTCTCTCATTATATGTACTGACCCACTTCTCATTCACTACCATCTGGCTTCCATCATCTCCAATTAAAATAACTGGTGGATGATAAAATCATCCAATCCAATGAACACTTTTTAGTAATCTTAGTATTTGATGACTCTATAGCAATTGACAATTTTATCCACCACCACACTGAAATCTGATAACACCACTCTCTGTCAAGCTATTCCAGTCTCCCAACTTCTGTTTCAATTATCAACTATATATTGATGACTCCTCCATCTGTATCACCAGCCCAGCTCTTTGTCCTGAGCTCCAGACTGACCAGAATATTCATTTGTTCATTTTCAAGCTACTCCACCTAAACATATCCAAAACTGAACTACCCTTTTCCTTTCCACCCACTCTCCTAGGCCACAAACTGAGGGGTGATCTTGACTCCTCATGTCTCCTATCTCATCAGTCACACCAAATTAGCCAATAGTCCAAGTCTATTTTCCTTATATACTTCTAATCTGTTTCCTCTTTTCTACCTCTTAGGAGGTGAAAGGAGGTGAAAGACCTGCACGTGGAAAACTATAGGAAATTGAAAAAAGAAATAGAAGACATAAACAAATGGAAGAATATACCGTGCTCGTGGATTGGTAGAATCAACATTATTAAAATACTACCCAAAGCAATCTATAAATTCAATGTAATCCCCATTAAAATACTAACAGCATATTTCACAGACCTAGAACAAACTCTCCAAAAATTCATATGGAAGAAAAAAGACCCTAAATAGCTGCAGCAATCCTGAGAAAGAACAAAGTTGGAGGGCTCACAATACCAGATTTCAAGCTATATTTCAAAGCCACTGTTCTCAAAAATGCCTGGTACTGGCACAAAAACAGACATAGAGACAAATGGAACAAAACAGAGAATCCAGAAATCAACCCAGGCCACTATGCTCAATTAATATTTGACAAAGAAGGCAAGAACATACAATGGAGTCAAGACAGCTTCTTCAATAAATGGTGTTGAGAAAATTGGATACATGCAAAAAAATGAAAAAACACCTACTTACACCATCCACAAAATAAACTCAAAATGGATAAAGGACTTAAACATAAGATAGGAAATCATAAAAATTTTAGAAGAACCCATAGGCAGCAAAATATGAGACATATGTCTTAGCACCAATACAGCTCCTAGGACAATGGAAACTAAGGAGAAAATAAACAAATGGGACTACATCAAAATAAAAAACTTTTGCACAGCAACAGAAACCATCAACAAAACAACAAGAAAGCCCACTGCATGGGAGAACATATTTGCCAATGTTTCTCCAATAAGGGTTTAATCTCCAAAATTTACAGGGAACTCATACAACTTAACAAAAGAAAGATAAACAATCCAATAAAAAAAAATGAGCAAAGGATCTAAATAGATACTTTTCAAAAGAGTACATACAAAGCTGCGTTGGTGGTATAGTGGTGAGCATAGCGGCCTTCCAAAAGAGTACATACAGAAAGCCAAGCAACATATGAAAACATGCTCAAAATCACTAATCATCCAAGAGATGGAAATCAAAACGACAATGATGTACCATCTCACACCTGTTGGAACAAATCAACAAACAAGTGCTGGCAAGGATGCAGAGAGAAAGGAACCCAGACTGGTGCAGCCACTGTGGAAAACAGTATGAAGATTCCTCAAAAAATTAAAAATGGAACCCCATTTGACCCAGTAATCACACTTTTAGGAATATATCACATTACAATAATTGATTTAATTGCCCTGTTATCCCAATGGGCTGTATCTTTCACTTTTGTAACCTTAACTCCAGCACAGTGCCTAGCACATAACTAACACTAGATAAATGCTTACTAAATAAATGAATAAAATTTAAGATAAAGAAACTGGCTTACTGTCTTGCGTAATGGCTTGCTACGAATGGCAAGACCATCCATGTAGTCCTCCAGTTTGAACTTGTAAGTAACCTGCAGTTTTTGAAGCAAACTATCAAAGAAGTCACTACCCTGTAAAGAGAAAAAAATAAGAAGTTAAAAAATAAGAAGCTGAATCAGCTAGTTTTGATGCAATCTACCCACCAGAAACTTGGGCAAGTGACCTTTTCACAGTTCTACTAATGTTCAGCCATCTGATATAAAGGGGGGCACAGACAGTATTTAGTGGCCACTAACTAAGCAAAACACAAACTCATAGCATAAGTCACTCTATTATTTTAAAGACATAAACACCTACACACACTCTTCTCCCCACCCTCCCATCCCCACAACCCCTGGTTAAGATCTCCAGAAAACTTCTAAGCTCAGAACTAACTCCAATTGTAACTTATGGTCTCAAGGAAGCAACAGGAGTAAGGTAGACCTAAACCAAGAAAAGAGTATAGAGTTTTTTGGACAATGTTCTGTTATATAGTACTTCATGTGGTAAAAATCCATCACAACTAGAGGATACTGAAGTTTTTTTCCTGTGTACAAAAAAACGATGGTTTACCTCATCCAAGAGTTCCAACAGTCTGTTCCGAATCTGTTCTGGGTTGTCAACATTTGGATCCTTGAGGAGCTGCCTGAACTTCTCAATCACCTGATAGAAAGCATTCTTCCACAGGATCTGATCCACATTCTGATTATCAGAGAACTCAATATCTAAGAGAATACAGCGCTCATATAGCTGCAGCAGTTCAGCTCTGGAATAAAATACATGCAACTTCTAGCTCCAAATACACCACAGAAAAGGCTAGACTCAAGATTTGAGCTTTTTAAAAATTAAGTATCTTTCTTAATAGGAAATCCAAAATGCCATCAGGTATAATATTCATTCTAGCCTCCATTCTGCACAGTATAATGCTATTTTAAAAACAGTTATGTCTAGGAAAGTTTTTCCCCATATGCCTGAACCTAAATTTAACAGCTGACGTAAGATCTTCACCACAAGTTTTATGTTGTTCGTTTCTTGGCATTCTGGAAAGTCTTTCCTTTCCCATTTCCAGATTCCATGTTCTCTTAAGGATAATTTTTTTTTTTTCTTAAAGAGAAAGTGGGAAGCTTAATAATTTCTAAGACTAGAAACAAAATTTTGTTTTGTTTTTCCAACTGTCCTTTCCTTAAAAAAATCAATGTGAAAGGGAGATAACACCCAGACCCAGAAGCTTACCTAAAAGTTTTCTACTTTCCTCAACCACAGGAGTCTATACACCTCCCAGCTTATCCCCATTTCTCTCTAGCCAGGATGGAATTCACCATACCTAAGCTGAGCCATCTTTTCCAGGCCCTCCGGACTGATGCGGTCCCTGGAGAGCAGGTTGCTGAGCTGTAGTTCCTGGTTATCAGCCACCCGGAGAAGCCTATGTAGTTCTTGCTGCTGCATGTTCCTCATGTGCTGCTCCATCTCCTCAGGACTCATGGTGCTGGCAGGGAGAGGACTACAAACATATTGTCCTGAGGGAGTCGGGTAGCCTGGGTAGTAGGGCCCTGGGTACACACCATTTGTAGGGCCCACTGGGTACTGAAGAGGGCTATAGCCTGTAAAAGGATACTGGGAGGCAGGGCCTGGTGTCCGGGGGTAATAATAAGGGTTGTCAGAGTTTTGAAACTTATAGTAAGATGCTTGGGCCTGGCGTGAGTCACCCCAAGATGTAGGGCTGACTTCATCATCAGTGTCCAAGAAATGTAGCTGGGGTGTCTGGCTCTTTAGAGCAGGTTTCTGATCAGGATTGTTTGGGTCCCACAATCGTCGAGTGGTGCCTCCTCGGCCCCAACTCCGAGATCCCTTACAACCAGATCCAAACAACAGCCGAGATCCTGAAGGTGTAGACTCTGGAGAACCAGCTGAATTGACAGATAGGGTGGTATGGGCAGGCAGAATCAGAATGCCACGGCCACGACCCCGAAGTTCTTGTTTCAAGTTTTTGGACTCCTGCTTCTCAGAGTCTTTGCCCCTACTGCTCAAGCCTTTCTCAGACTTTATCCTATCCACATCCTCTCTGGCTGGCCTCACTGTGGGGGAATCTTTGTTCATGGTTTCTGCATCAAAAGTGACACGAAGAGTACCTCGATTTTCTTTACCATTGCTTTTCTGCTCCCCCTCCCCATGGCCAGAAGAGTTTCTTTCTAAATGTTTCTTCCTTTCTGTGCTCCTCCTAGGCCCATCAGACTCATCAATTCTGTCCTCATCTAAGGAGTCAGTTGAGGACATAGATACTTGCTTCTTCAGTCGTGACCTCAACTTGGTCTTATCCTGGCGGCGGCGGCGACATCCATTATCAGTCAGGCCAGACCCCTCAGCACTGTTGTTGCTACCAGCTGAGCTGGTACTGCATGTGCGGTAGCGGTTCCTCCGTTTGTCTGAGCGGGAATAGCGCTTTGCAGAACCGGGCTTCCCCTGTGCTGGGTCTTCATTCACTTTCTTCATCCCCTCCCCTTTTTCAATCCTCTTTCCTTTTTCTCCCTTTGCAGCCCTTACTCTGTCACAATTTAGGCTCCTTTGTGTCTCATTTTTGTCTGGCTTATTCACAACCTCCTCTTTCATTTGTTCCCTACATTCATCTTCCTCTACTTTCAGTTGTTCTACCTGGTTGAGGATTTCTTCCTCATCCATCCTGCTGGTAGATTCTTTGGTTAGAGTCTGCATGCGCCTTCCAGGCTGATAGATCTGCATGTCAGGTTTCTTTGTTTTCTTGATAATTCTTAGACTTTGATCCTCTTGTCCAGCAATTCTAGGAGAGGACTCCTGTGCCCGAGTATTTTCAGGGTCTACAGGACCATTTTGCTGTTGGTTGTCCAGTTCCTTGCAAACATCTTTAATGAGCTGTGTACCATTTCCAACAGCTGAAGAATCTCTGTCATTAATAATTTCATCCTTAAGTTCATCACTCCCAGAGGGTTCTTTGATTTTAGGCTTGTTCCTTAGTCGTGATAGACCAGGCTTATAGATTTCCAGGTCAGGGCGTCTATTATCTTTGCGTTGCCTGGGCTCCTTCATGATTTCTGTGATGTCGGAGAGTATTGGGGAGGAAAGGGTAGAAGAAAAGAATAAATAAGGGGGGAAGGCAGAAAAATGTCATTCTGGTAAAGGAACAGAAAAGTCAAGCAAAAATTACACATCAAAATGCTATTATTGGCCCTGGCTGGGTAGCTCAGTTGGTGAGCGCTGTCTCTGATACACCAAGGTTCTGGGGCATATACAAGTATCAACTAATGCATAAATAAGTGGAACAACAAATCAATGTTTCTCTCTCCCTCGTCTCTCTAAAAATCAACAAAAGTTTCAAATGTTATTGATTAACAAGGAAGGAAAGTTCTTCAGAAACAGAAATTCTACTGTTTACAATATTTGTTCAGCAACTGACAAAGCTAAGAACTTAATTGTGAACTCATGGACACAGACAATAGTGCAGTGAAGGCCTGGGGAGGGGGCAGGGGCAGAGTGGAGGGGGCGAGTAGGGAGGGGTTGGACATCTATAATACTTTCAACAATAAAAATAATTTTTTTTAAGAGAAGAAGTGGGAGCAGGGAAGAGGAGGTCAATGGGGAAATCAAAAGGGGACATCTGTAATACTTTCAACAACAAAGATAATAAAAAATTTTTTTTTTAATGCTTGTGTTGGAGTTACCTATTCCTGAGGTAAAGATACAAGAAAAAAAATGGTATTCAAGTCATATTCAGATCCCCAAGGCCCTAACTACCCCATTACTGTCAGAATAAAAGATCTCCAACCATTTCAGCAACAGGCTGTTCTCTATTATAGAGCCCTCAAATCCATCTTAGTCTTTTCTTCTGCCTCTATTATTTTTTCCAGGGTGGCCGAGTCCTTTTAACATACTAGTAGGAAAAAAGTAAAAGTGGGATATGCGTAACAATCCTTGGTCTGGGCATCCCTGGAGAAAAAACTGCAAGTCTAGACTTCGACTTGGCCAGGACAATCCTCTTCTTTAGGCTACCAATTTATCGAATCATATACCTCCTGCCGAAGCAAACTGGAGGTAGTTTTTTTCACATTCTTCAACTCCACTCACGCTCACCAACTCTCTAACAGTAGCCAACAGAGTCATTCCAAGAAAATACTGCTCAGAATATCATCATTAGAATACTGAGACTAACTGCTACTATGATGATGGAATATGAGAAGGAAAAAGTTCCATAAGGAACATTTCCCTGGAAGATGATGGAAATATTGTGATGAGCTTTCAAATACCAAAGACTGGGGCACTCAAGAATAAGAGCAAAGGACTTCAAAAACCGCTGTCCAGCCGAAGCCGGTTTTGCTCAGTGGTAGAGCGTCGGTCTTCGGACTGAAGGGTCCCGGGTTCGATTCCGGTCAAGGGCATGTACATTGGCTGCGGGTACATCCCCGGTGAGGGGTGTGCAAGAGGCAGCTGGTCAATGTTTCTCTCTCATCGACGTTTCTGGCTCTCTATCTCTCTCCCTTCCTCTCTGTAAAAAAATCAATAAAATATATATTTAAAAAAAAAAAAAGATGACTTACAATATATTTATAAAAAAAAAAAAAAAAAAAAAAAAAAAAAAAAAAAACGCTGTCCGGGCTCCACGAATTTACTTAAGGACAGAAAAGCAAGTCTCTATTTTTTGTGTCTGTTATCTTATCTATTAAGGGAAAAGACTACTACAAATAGTTACTAAACCTTTCCATGGAGAAGTGACAGGAATTAGTGAGATTACAGAGTATATAAAATGAAATGCTACATAAAATCCTACTATTGTTCTATAAATACCCATGTAAACAAACCCATAATAGAAATTTACACCTATGTGTATATCAAAACATAACAGGAAAAAAAAAAACCGCCTTGATGTTTTACTGCTACAGTGTTCTCAGAAGTTTAAAGACTGTTTCAAGTCTGAATACATTAAACCAGTTTAACTCCAGAATAGCTCACCCTCAGCAGCCTTTTGTAACTTAGGTGAAATGGAGAGAGGGAGAAGAACTACCACTATTTTCCACAGCAGAGGGAGAAAAGAACCTGAATAAATCCGATTCAGTTGACCAATGAAAACCAATGTCACAGACTTTGGCAACACGTCTGCAGAAGCATAGCTACCATTCTACAGCAGTGCACTGCCTAACAAAGGGGAGGGGAGACACTAGAACCTTCCCTAGGCGCTTTCCTGGTGTGGCTGGAGGCTTGAACTTGCAAGTTGAGCGTTCTCTCAGAGAAAAAACAGCTCCCACAATACGCCAAGGCCAAACCAGAGTAGAGTCAACTCTCTGAGGTCCTGGATCCCTTCCAGTGGCCCAGTCGTCAGAAGCCTGCCTTGGGGTGGGGGGAAAAGTTCAGCAAAGAAGTCCCAAGCTATTCAACCTTCCTCCATTTCCCCAGTTCCTTCTCTCCAAAGCTAAAGAGATGACGGGCTGGGGATGATCCTTCTGGGAACGGAACATCCCGGGGCCTCCACCAGACCCCAGCGCCACTCCTTGACGTTTCTCCTGACGCCTCGGGGTCCACGAGAGGGTCTGAGAGACGGAGGCAATGGGGGAAACAGTCACCTTCGCGGCAAGAAAGGGGGCGGAGGCAGGTACTGTGGTTGGACTCGTCTGAAAAAGGGCCAGAGCTGCCTCAGCGGGACCCTACACGGACTCCGGGGCTGGTTGGTAGGGCCGCCAGGGGGTCCGCCCTCGAGCCCCCGCCCCCACTGTTGGGGGAAGGGGCGGGGGCTCCGAAGCGCCGCGGACCGAGCGGGGAGGAGGCAGAGGAGGAGGAGAGGAAGGCGGGGCGGGCAGGCCCGGCCCAGGAGCTGGGCGGCGCGACTCACCTCTGCTCCCGGCCTGCGGAGCCAGAGTGGCCAGGATCCCTCGCAGCTCCGACGCGGAGATCCGGACACGCTCCAGCCCTTCCGCCATCTTCGCCGCTGCTGCAACAGCTGCAGCGACGCCGCCGCCGCCGCGCGCAGCCAGGAAACCACGGCGGACGGGCGGCGCGCGCGCTCACCCACCTCCCACCTTTCTCCCCGCCCCCTCCCGGCCTCCTCCCCGAACGACGGTGGCCGCGCAGGGAGCAAAAGCGTCAAACGGACGCTTCGCCGCCGGAGAGACAGAGCGCGAGCCGGGGCGTGGGAGGCGGGCGCCGCGCATGCGCAGAGGTGTGGCCGGGGAAGGTGCGCGGAGGCCGGAGTTGGAGGCGCGGCCCCTGTGAGGTGAGGTGAGGCGAGGCCAGGCCCGCCGGCGGGCGGTGGCGGCGGCGGCAGCTGCTGTCGCTGCTGTGGTGGCCATCGAGGACACTGGTGCTGGTCTGGGGCTGGGGTTGACAAGAGACACCGCAGGATCCGGCCTCCTCGGCTCCTCTTAGGCCAGGGTCTCCCACCGCAGGCCCGGACTAGTGCCCCAGGCCTCTGTTTTGGAACCTTACAAATCTTGTAGGAGTGATTATTATTTTTCCCACTTCCTCCTCCTCCACCTCCTCCTCCTCCATACCCCTCTCCCCGCTCCAAAGATGAAGAAACTGAGTCCTCGGGAACCGTAGTTCCCGCGGTGACACAGTCGATAAGTAACCAGAGTATCAGAGTCTTTTTCTCTTTTATGGCAGAGTGCATCCCCCAAGCCAGCCTCCCGACTGTTTATTTTTAAATGGCAGTGCGGTTGGCTCTTGTTGAGGAAGGGGTTGTGTGGAAGTAAATCAGGAGGTATTGATATGTCGGTTTGGGAAATTTCCTTATCATTGTGGATTCTTGGAAAAATTACTTAACTTCCCTGGTTCACAGCTAGCAAGTGCAGCGGCAGTGGCGGGAGCCTCTCCCGCCTCCATGGCAAGTGCTAAGGGTGTCCGACTGGCATCGCCTGAGGGCTCCTGGCCAGGCTGGGGGACCCCCACCTCCAAGGGCATGAATTTCGTGCACCCAGCCTCTAGTGTAAGTAATAAAACAACAAAGCAAATTTGGACAGTAGGGAGAGAGAAATTCAGTTCTGAAAACAAAAATTGTACAGGTCATCATTGCTGAGCACAGAGTAGTAAAATGAGTAATAAATAGCCACAAATTTAAAAATTCTAATTACTTGGGATTTTTAAAAAATCACCAGTTTTGGCCGGGACCGGTTTGGCTCAGTGGATAGAGCATCGGCCTGCGGACTGAAAGGTCCCGGGTTCGATTCCGGTCAAAGGCCTTGGTTTCGGGCACATCCCCAGTGGGGGGGTGTGCAAGAGGCAGCTGGTCGGTGTTTCTCTCTCATCGACGTTTCTAACCCTCTGTCCTTCTCAATTCCTCTCTGTGTAAAATCAATTAAAAAATATATTTAAAAAATAACCAATTTTGAATAACTCATGGGTCAAAAAAATAAAACTAATGTCATGGATTCTTTAAAAATTAAGATTTCTGTAAGTGGAGAAGGGTATAGAGGCAATAAGTGGTAATGAACAGATACTTGACTTGGGGTGGTATGCATATACTACCATGTACAGATTATGTGCTGTAGAATTATGCAACTGAAACCTGTATAATTTTGTTTAACAAGTCTCGCTCCAATAAATTCAATAAAACAGAAAAAAGTTAATGAAAATATTGCAAGCAAAACCTATGGTATATTATTAAACCAATACTCAGGGAAATTTGTAACCCCTGCTTTTATTATTAATTTTTAAAGAATAGAAATGAAAAGGAAAATAGAAGAATAAAGATAAAATCAGAAATTAATAAGGAAAAAAGAACAGTACTTGATTAAAAACATAGAGGATCTCATTCTTTAGAAAAAATGGACACAATTATGGGAAAAAAAAGAAAAGAAACCTAAAGAACATCCTCTCAGATGTCTCATAAGTAATTCAAACTTAGCTCATCAAATCACTGATTTTCTCTAAAATACTTGTTTCTTCATCAGTTTTATATGTGAATAAATTATACCACCTACGTCAAAACCCTGGAGTTATCTGTGTCCCCCTCACTCCCCACATTCAAACCAATATCAGGATATGTCTCTTCTATCTCTGTAGTGGACATCTGTGGAATTCACCTCCTCAACATTCTCTCCTTTTCTCTTGAAAACTCCCTCCCTCTCAGAAGTATATTCTCTTTGTCCTTTTGTTTCTCTTTCCTTTTTTTCTTCTTACTCCCTTCATTTGCTCCTATTTTTCCCACAGGTACAGAAATTTAAGGCAATCATATTATTTGGTTCTTGTTACCATCAAGGCCTTATCTTTTCCCTGTTCTAATTACTACTCGTGTTCCTAGCCTTCCCACTTAAGTCATTGCTCTAATATGTTTAAAATATGTACTTGGATATATCTATGTCTTTTAATAATATATAGTGTCTTATGTATGTATATGTTTTAAATGTACATAATTGACATTGTGTTATAGAAATCATTCTGTTTCTTTTTCATGTTTCTGTAAAGACTTCTGATGCATAATATTGTCTTACATGCCCTCACACCCTTGGCCACTGATCCTGGGCCAAGATGGGTCAATCAGAGTCCCTACCCAGAATTTTTTTAACTGAAACTGAGAAAGAAAATTCCTGTCTTGTGTGGAAGCCATAAAATGTAAAACACAGGAGCTGTCAGCAACCACGCATCCTGCCAGGTGGAACTGGTCTGCGACAAAAAAGGATGAAACTAACATGCAAAAGCAACAGAGGTGAGAAACACAGGGTCCTAGAAAGTCTCAAATCCCTGGTTTTAATTGTTCCTGAAGGTCCATCTCCCTACCTGTCCCATATTTTAACTCTTCAATTCCATGAGCCACGTAACTCTCATCACCTCCATCTTGTGTCCAGTTCAAATTGGGGTTCTATTACTTGCAGACTAACTATTTATCACTAATTATAATCTTCAAAATGTAACTATTTTTCTGTTTTTTTAAATTGTGGTAAAATACACATAAGATAAATGTTATCATCATAGCCATTTTTAAATATACAGTCCAGTAGTGTTAAGTACATTCACATTGTTGTACAATCAATCTCTAGAATTATTTTCATTTTGCAAAATTGAAACTATATTCATTAAACAGCTTCCCTTCCCTTTCCCCCAGCCTCCGGCAACTACCATTCTATTCTCTATGAATTTATCTGCTCTAGGTACCTCACATAGTGTAATAATAAGTATTTGTCTTTTTGTCTGGCTTATTTTACTTAGTATAATATCCCCAGTATTCATTCATATTGTAACATGAATAATAATCCATTCCATTGGCATAGACCAGATTTTGTTTATTTGTCTGTCAGTAGATACTTGGGTTACACTTTTGGCTATTGTGAATAATGCTGCTATAAACAATAATAATAATAATAACAGCAACAATAATAATGCTATGAACAGGTATTTGAGACTCTCAGTTCTTTTGGGTATATATGCAGAAGTGGAATTGCTAGCTCATTTGGTGATTCTATGTTTAATTTTTTACATACTACCATACTGTTTTCCATATTAACTAAACCAGTACATTTCCACCAACAGTGTACAAGGGCTCCAGTTTCTCCACGTCCCTGCCAACATTTGTTTGTATGTGTATGTGTTTAATAATTGTCATTCTAGACTTACCTGGTTTGGCTCAGTCGGACTGAAAAGTCCCAGGTTCAATTTCTGTCAAGGGCCCATGCCCATGTTGCAGCTGGATCCCCAGTAGGGGGTGTGCAGGAGGCAGCCAAATGGTTCTCTTTCATCACTGATGTTCCTCTCTTTCCCTCCCTTTCTCTTTGAAATTAATAAAAAATGTATTAAAAATAATATTTGTCATTCTAATATATTTAAGATGGTATCTCCTTGTAATTTTAATTTGCATTTCTCTAATGATTAGTAATGTTGATCATCTTTTCATGTGCTTGTTACAAATCCATTTGTATATCTTCTTTGAAAACATGTCTGCTCAAATTCCTCACCCATTTTTTGTTACCAGGTTTGGCTTTCCAAAATGTGATTTTTTTTTTTTAAATAATCAAGTGATTATTTTTTTCTGCCTCCACTTTCACCATCCAAGTCCCTATTGTCTTTCATGTGGAAAACTTTAATACTATTTAACTGAATCCCCTGTTTTCTACTCTTCTCTTTTTTTCATTCACCATAATGTGCTTTTCTGAAAATATTAATTTTATCATGTCACTTACCGATTCAAAAATTTCCAATGGCATTCCATTGCTCTTAAGTAACATATCCATGAATCATGGTCCCTAATGATCTAGACCCTGCCAAGTTCACTCTCATCTCTTACACTAACTACTCTTTGATCCCTATTTTCACAATCATTGGCCTCCTTTTAGTTCCTAGAATATGACAACCACCTACCCTCCTTAAAGTCTTCACACATGTTATTTCCTCTACTTGAAACACTTTTTTCCCTACTCTGCCCATTCATCTTATGGGTCAACTTAAAATTTTACTTCTCCATAGAGAAACTTACTTGATATAAATAAAGCCCAACATTATAGTATCCTATCATAACACACTTCCTTAATATCACCTATTACTAAATGTAAATAAATATATATTTTGGGATTACTTTTGCTCATCTCTCCACAATATTGTAAGTTTTATGAGAGCAGAGACAAGTCTGTTTTTCTAACACAAAATCTCCAGACCAAATACATAGGAGGTTCTCAATATTTCATAAATAAACAAATAAATGAATGCCACAGATATGAAGAATTCCTAGATATATTAATATGTACAACTTCATACTAATTTTGTATGACTTTGCAAATAAAACGTTACTGAAATTAATTCAGGAGGAGTTGGAAAATCTACATTAAAAGAATAATTATGGAGTCACTGAGAAAGTTACCAGAGGGATATTTGTGAGGTAAAGACAAATTATCTTTATTTGCAGATAGCGTGATTATTTAGAGAATGAACTAGAAAACTATTAGTTCTAACAAGATACTCTAGTCCTAACCGGTTTGGGTCAGTGGAAAGAGCGTTGGCCTGTGGTCTGAAGAGTCCAGGGTTCGATTCCTGTCAAGGGTACATGCCCGGGTTGCGGGCTTGATCTTCAATTATAGGGCATGCAGGAGGCAGCCCATCAATGATTCTCTCTCATCATTAATGTTTCTATCTCCCTCTCCCTTCCTCTCTGAAATCAATGAAATAAAAATATGTTTTTTAAAAGATATTCTAGTAAAGTGTCCTATTACATTTTCATATACATTATCAGTAAGTAATTTAAAAATCTAAGGAAATACCTTATCTCAAAAAAATGTATTCTACTTAGGCACAAATTTTTTTTTTACATATTTTATTGATTTTTTTACAGAGAAGAAGAGAGAGGGATAGAGAGTTAGAAACATCAATGGGAGAGAATCATCTATCAGCTGCCTCTTGCACACCCCCCACTGGGGATGTGCCCGTAACCAAGGTACATGCCCTTGACCGGAATCGAACCCGGGACCTTTCAGTTCCCAGGTCAGTGTTCTATCCTCTGAGCAAAACCTGTTTCGGCTTAGGCACAAATTTAATCATATCTGGATAGGACACAAGTAAACTATAAACACTTTACTGAGAAACCTAAAATGAAAACACTTTACTAAATTGAAAGACAGATGTTTATGGATAGGAAGACTCTATTCTTAAATGTCATATGCCCCCAATTCATTGTTCATTTGACAGTGGTATTTCTCACAACCTTGATAAAGGGTTTCTAAAGTTTCTTTGAAAGAATTATTTGTGAAAAAAGCTAATAAATTTTAGAAAAAGTAATCAGGGAAGAACATAATATAATGAACAACTGGAAAATGAATTGACAATCTCATAAATGGAACAAAATATGAAGTCCAGAAAAGCTCTAAGTACTAATAGAAATTTAATTTTGATAAACATAACATTTCAGAAGAGAAAGATGATTCAGTCAGTAAATTGGTGTATTCAAGACGCATGAAAGAATAAGTGGCCAGGAGGAGGATCCAAGATGGCTGCACAGGTAAACACCTAACCACAGCCGCACACAACAATTTCAATGGAATACAACTAAAATATAAAATGGACATTGCCCAGAGCTACAGGTAGTCGACTGACTGAAAATTCTACAACAAGAAGGAAAGAGAAAACCAGAAGGAAAATCAGAGGAGCTGAAAAAGCCTAAGGTACGGAGACATGCTGCGCGTGCGCGGGGAGAGGACGGAGTCGGAGAGGAGGAGAGGGCTGGGTGCCTGCCTGGCGTTCCCTAGCAGGAAGGAAATAAAAGCCCCGGACTGGGCTGAACCCCAGAACCGGCAGCCCTGAGCCCCAGTTCTGGGCCAGACCCAGAACTCAGGCAGGGGGAGACGGGGCTGTGAGGCGGAATCCCAGGGGAGCTGCAAAAAGCAGAGCCCCCGGAGTCGTGCACATTGCGCGCAGAGGACGGAATGTTGACCCTGATGCTGGATTGCCCTGGCGGGACGGAAATAAAACCTCCGGCTGTGCTGAGCCCCAGTCCCGACTTCTCTGAACCCCAGTTCTAGGCCAATCCCTGGGGACCCAGGCTCAAGCAGAGGGAGACAGGGCTGTGAGGCAGAGTCCTAGGGGAGCGGCGAGGGCCAGAGCCCCCGGAGTCGGAAGGAATGTTTGCTCTGATGCTGGATTGCCCTGGCGGGAAAGAAACAAGAGCTCCGGCCGTGCTGGGCCCCAGTTCCATCTGCTCTGAACCGCAGTTCTAGGCCAGACCCTAGGGACCCAGGCTCAAACAGAGGGAGATGGGGCTGTGAGGCGGAATCCCAGGGGAGCGGCGAGGGGCAGAGTCTGTTGACTCTGATGCTAGACTCCTCTAGCGGGAAGGAGAAAAAAGCTCCAGACTTGGAGGAATGCGATGAGCAGGAGCTGCTGCCGGATACCAGCCAGCTGGGCACCGGCAAGGAGCCGGGTGACAGGGCCCTCGGGCAGGTGGGGTGCCGCTGGGCCCTCGACTGCTGATCGCGGGTCATGGAGCCGAGGCAGGGGGCTGCTTCCTGGGCGGCACTGACCCTGGCAACAGGCTGAAGCCACGCAGGAGGCCGCAGAGAACAAAGGGGTGCTGCAAGCCAGCCTGCTGAGCTCCCAGGATGAGGAGGAAGAAACCGAAGAAGTTTTCAATATGAAGAAATCAAGTTATAGCAAAAGATAATAAAATTACTTAAGAAAGAATACAAAGAAGATCTTGAAAAATCAAAGACTAAGACAGAACTCAACTCAGCAGCCAACATTGCAACATAAATGCGTTTAAAAAAAAAAAAAGAAAGAAAGAAAAAGGACAGCCGAAGCCGGTTTGGCTCAGTGGAAGAGCGTCATCCTGGGGACTGAGGGGTCCCGGGTTCGATTCCAGTCAAGGGCATGTACACTGGTTGCGGGCATATCCCAGTGGGGGGTGTGCAGGAGGCGGCTGGTCGATGTTTCTCTCTCATCGACATTTCTAGCTCTCTGTCTCTCTCAATTCTTCTCTGTGTAAAATCAATAAAATATAAAAAAAAAAAAAAAAAAGAAAGAAAAAGGACAGAATGTTGGAACGGCAGCGGCCAGACCCAGAGTGGCCAGGCCCAACGCAGTGGCAGCTGGGCCCGGAGCAGCAGCAGCCAGCCCCAGAGCAGCAGCAGCCAGAACCAGAGCAGCAACAGCCAGGCCCGGAGCAGCCAGAACTGGGGCAGTGGCAGCCAGGCCTGGAGCGGAGGCGGTCAAGCCCAGGGTGGCCAGGCCAGG